AGGCTCTTGCAAAGGATGTCTTTCTGAAGAGCAAGCTTTCTTACCAGCTGCCATTATACAGGTAGATTCCACAAGCAGATGCCTTCTTTGCTGTCATGCTACCCAGGGCCTGATAGCACTTGGCTGTTGCTGCCTGCTGGCTGAAGCACTAAAATCTTTTCTTTGATCCAGTGGCCTCAACTCTCTCTCTCTCTCTCTCTCTCTCTACACACATATACACACATATATACACATACACACACACACACACACACACATACACACACACATATATATACACATACGCACACTCAAATATGTGTCTATGATTTTATTTCTTTGAGGGAGAACAAGTTTTGATTGAGAAACTTTCTAGCTAAGATTCTGTCTTAGAAATTTTTTATTTCAGACAACATCACACCATGTAGTCAAAGCTAATCTCGAACTCCTGATCCTCCTACCAAGTGCTAGGACTACAAGTGTGTGCCACTCTACCCAGCTTAGAAATTTTGTTTTTATTTTAAAGATATGTATTGTTTTATTTTTACTTATTTATTTTTATTAAAAAAATTTCTTTTTGGTCTTTTTGAGACAGGGTCTCCCTGTAGCCCTAGCTGGCCTGGGTTTGCTATGGAGACCAGGCTGGCCTCGAACTCACAGAGATCTGCCTGCCTCTGTCTCCCGAGTGCTGGGATTAAAGGTGTGCACCACCACTCCCGGCTGTTTTTATTATTTTTATCATACATATTATTCTGTATATGTATGATAGGTGAGTATAGGCACATATATGCTTTGAAGTGTATATGGAGGTCAGAGGGCAACTTTCAGGTTCTCACATCCCAACATGGGTTTCAGGGATGAACTCAGGTTGTCAGGCCTAGGCAGTAAGTGGCTTTAACTGCTGAGCCATCTTGTCAGCCCAGAAATACTAAGTAATAAAAGATGGAGAATATGGTACTTACTAGGTTTCTACTGTAGGGCCCCGAGATCCTCTTCATTCAACCCCTCCTGACACCCCACTGGTTGCTCTTTTCAGCTTCTGTGTAATGCCTGCAATGCCTGCCTGCTGCTACTCCTCCCCCTGCTGTTCCCCTTCCAGGAAACTATAGGTTAGATAAGCCCGGGCATGGACACTGCCCTATAGAGTAAAAATGAAGACTCCTGACCACACAGATGGCCAGCGCATTCCACAACCCTGAGAATAGCACCCGCCAATAAAAAACCTCTACGGCTGCATCCTGTACAACCAATCAGTTTAAAAGTGTGTTGGTGCATGCGCGGGATTCAACCACAAAGTGACACTGTTATTCCCCTCCTCCCTTTGTCTCTAACCTATAAAGAGCCCCTTCTTCCCCCACCAGGGGCTCTCAGCATGGATCCGTTATATTGATGCGGTCTGAGAGCCCGAGCAAACCATAAACCTTGCTTTTGCATTTTGGTGTGTTGGGTCCTCGGTGGTCTTCTTGGGGTCCTGTTGATGAGGTATAACACTACTCCCTTTGTTTCATTGCCCCAGTGACTTCTTTCCCCAAACCAAATTTATTATAGGGAAGGAAATGATATTATTTATTTAATTACTCAATAATTTTTTTGAGACAGGGTCTTGCTATGTAATTCAGACTGTCTTCATACTTAACCACTTCCCCAGTGTGGGGATTACACAAGTGAGCCACTGCCACATTACTAAGCCAACATTATGATTACGTGAACAAACAGCTCAGCTCTTAAATTTAGTTTTAAGATAGGCCTGAACTTAGAGGACATCTGTTCCCCTAGATATCTCTTAGAACTGCCTGTCTCCTGGAACTGTCCTGATGCAGCTGTCTTGCTGGAATTCTGTTCTGGAACTGTGTCCTCCAGCCCAGCCCCACCGATGATTTTATTCAAAATGGCTTTCCAGCTTCAACTGGGGAAGTACAACATGGCTCCACTTTAATCTTAACAGACCATCTGCCTTTTTCATTCCTTGCTCTAGAATATCTCATTCACCCAAGGTCCAATCTCCCATGTGTGCAGTCAGAGATGGATAAGCTTGCTTTCAGTACTTTATATGTTAATTCTCAAGCATGCCCACATTCATTCATTATCTTTTTGGGTGGAGTACCAAACTGAGGCTCCCAGGAAACCCAGGTCACAAGACATGAGAGCACATGGTTGTGCTGGGGTTAATTAAAAGTCATTAGTCCACATTATGCCCATTTATAAGTTATTCCCACAGACCACCATGCCCAGCTCGATTTTACCCGTTTTATTGTGCTCACTAAGGATTTGAAAGGGGAAGTCAGGGAAAAGGACTACTACTACAAGGCTTGAAAAAAAACCAAGCGTGCAAATGAGCCCACGCACTTGCTCTGACTGAGATATGGTCTGTAAGATCCAGCAGAGTAGAGGGGAATGCAGCCATGTGGACTCAGTTTGTTCTGGACCTTTTCCAGAGGACTTTCTGTTCAGGTGTCGCTGACATGACCACAGGGCAAGGGGAGGTCAAGGCCATGCCCACCACAGTCTCTTCAAACTTCAAAATAAATGTTGCTCCATCAGAACTGAATGGCAGCTTTTGAATTCATTCCTTTTAGGTGAGCTGCTTGTGATTTTTCTTCACATGCCCTGTAGAACCACACTCAGGGGAGGTTCTAATCTGGAAGTAAGAACATGGAGTATGTTCTTCTCTTACCACTGCTTCACCGACAGCTTCATAGGGCTTTAAGGTGAAAGAGCATAACAACCAGCAAAGGTGGTGGACCCACAGGGGACGGTCAGACAATGTTGCATCTGTTCCGACAGAAGGATCTGCTCAGCTGGCCATGTGCTTGTACCTGCAACCCTCTACCTGGGGTCCAGGTCAGAGGAGGAATTGCCAAGGTTCCCTTTTGGGGCCCTAAGGTTTTATTGGAATGACTTCATGGCCACAGTGAGAATAGCCTATATGGAGTTATTGGCTAGAAACACATCCTTCCAGGGATGGGCAAGTGGATGGAGGAAGAGCAGGATCTGAGGCCTGGTGCCCGCTCTCCTTGGCCACTGTGCCTGCAAGTCCCTGATAATATCTTGATCAAGTCTCTGATAATACCCATGACGCAGTGACTTACTAGCTTGTAAGTAAGGTTATATCGAATACCAAATCTTATGGAATAGCTCGAGTAATATCATGTCACCTGCTCTATTGACCTCAGACCTCCCTTGTCTTGATGCTGAACATCCCTCATGGCATTTAATTTCTATCCTCCCCACCATGCTAGAAGCTCTGGGAAAAAAGGGATATTGCATTTCCCACATCTGGGAGAGCTTAGAATGTGTTATGTTTTCCTTAAGTAATTATTGAAAAATTGAATAAATTAATATAGCTTGTTAAGGGATACCGAGTAAACTAGTTCACCAGTAGGAAAGGGCTTATGGGGTAGGGAGAGTTACTAGTTTCTTGCCTCCTCTAAGGTCCTCCCTTCTTCTGGAGCAAAGCCAGCTCCTTGCTGTATCTGACCATTCCCTCTGTGGAGTTTGGAGAGGGCAGAAAGGACAATAGAATCCCTTGTCCACCATGGACTGATGTGGGGGCTGTCACATCTCTACCTAGTTACAAAACAAAGAAGGCCCTGCCCTGCCCTGCTTGTTTGCGTGTAGATATCTGCCCAATTTCCACATCTCAAAAGTGGTGGAAGGAAGTCAAGGCCACACCTCTAGAGGCAGATTTTCTGAGGCCACAGCTGAGGCTGAGAAGCCTAACCAGGAAGCCTGTAGGAACAGGAAATGAGATGCTACTCAGCCTCATTCTGGCCAGTGATCAAACTCTTAGGGTCTGTGGCAATAGCTGCCCTACAGAATGAGGTGGGCAACACCTCAAAAACCCAGTACCTTCTGCAACTAGGTTGTTGCCACCATGGAGACGGGCTTGCCCTTCCTCTCTGAAAGCAAGTTCTCCATTTGCTTTGCAGCAGAGCAAGGTGGGCATGTGTCTTCTTTCCCTCTTTCCTTCCTCTTCCTTTCCTTCCTCTAAGATTCAAGTGGCGATTGGAGTTATAGGGAGGGTGCTAAGAGGATGCTTTATCTTTATTTTCTTTTTTGAAGCTCCTTATGGGATCTTGATAATGATGATGATTTCAGGGTCTCACTATGTAGTCCAGACTGGCCTAGAACACTCTATATAGTCCAGGCTGGCCTCAAACTGATGGTCCTCCTGCCTCAGACTCCTTAGCGCTAGATTACGAGTGTGCCACTATGCTTAGGTAATGGATTCTTTTTTACTTAAAAAGATTTATTTTATTTATTTATTTTTATTGATGGAGCCAGTCCAGGGAGTAGAAGAGTTGGGTAGGAACACAGGCAGGTTTAGATTTGGTCTCATCAGAATATATTAGTAGTGAGGCTGTAGGCTGTCCCATGTGTGGAAACTGAGTGGAGGCCAGGACACTCCTTTCCCATGTGTCCCAGTTCAACAACAGCTGCAGAGTTGCTCTCTGGAGAGGCCCCCTACCACACCTGTTCATGCTGGAATTCCTTCAAGGGGAGCACAATCTTGTACTTCAAAGCAAATTATGCAAGTGCTCAAATGCCCTGGTGGAGGCAACTAACATCCACAAGTTAAAACTTGCCTGAAGACAGCTTTTGCTTGAACGAGAAGGGTGCAGATACTTGGGGAGGGGGGCCAGGGAGTACCTTTCTGGAGGGGACACACTCTTGGAAAAGAGGAACTGGAAGTCTCAAAACTCCTGACTCCACACTTTTGCTTTGCACCTGAACCCCTGCCCTGTCATGTCTTTGACAGAGATTTTGCTTCCTGCCACTGGCAGTGCTCCGTGTGAACCAGGGATTATCTGCTGTGTGTATCACCTGCGCTTTAAATACAAAGGTTGGGCCACTTATTCCAGCCTATCAATCATTAACTGTGAGGAAATCACATGGTTGGTTTTCTTAATAGCATAGCATCAGATGATTTCCTGGATCCAATAAGCCATGTAAAAAGCTGTAATCAGATCTGGGCGTTCCATACCAACTAGTGCCAAAGTCCCTTTCAGTTCTAGATGGTGCCTGCCTGCACCTTCTGAGAGCAGCTGAGCCCAGAGCCATCTGAGTCAGGTGGAAGGAGGCTTCAGGGAGCTGGGTGAGCTGTGTCTTGGTGTCTTGCAGACATGCATTTTTCTTGTGTATTAACCAGAAACGGCCCTAGAGCTGGAAATAGCATAGCTATTCATCCATAGTGCAATCTTTGAAGGTGGAAAGGAAGTTTATTTTAAAAAATGGTGATGGGAAGAGGATTGGGGGAAGAATACCAGTTTTTGCCCTGGACAAATGTGCCTTCTGAAGAGTATTTCTGTTATAGTCAAATAGCTACTCTGTTTTCAAGGCCACAAACGCAGAAGTTCATTTTCATTAACGCTAACATGGCCTGGAGATTGGAAGGAAAAGTTAGCCTAGAAGGATTCACTTGAGGGGGGAAGGGCTTCCCTTTTTAAAATAAACTGATAACATTTTAGCAATGCTGCCCTCTGCAGGTCTAATCTAGAATTTCAACTCCAGCCCTTCATAAAATTCAACAGAGGTGGTTAACGTGGGGAGAATCTGAAAGTTTAATGTTCCTCAAGTTTTGCTCATAACAAGCTAAAACGATTTTGAATAAGCATGTGTACATGTTTTAGTTCACATTTAAATTCACATCATAGCTTTAAATGTAAAGGATGTCCTAGTAACTTACCATTGCTGTGATTAAATACTGACCACAACCAAGTTAACGAGGAAAGAGTTTATTTCACCTTTACAGTTTCATCATAGAGGCAAGCCAGGGCAGGATCTCAGGGAAGGAACTTGGAGGCAGGTACACTGCTTACTGGCTTGCTTCCTTGGTCTGTGCTCAGCCTGCTTTCTTATACAACCCTGGACCACCTGCTTAGGGGTGGCACCACCCACAGTGGGCCAGGCCCTCCCACATTTTTGACCTCAGTTTCTAGTAGATCCCCCAAGTCCAGGGCCCAGGCCCACATAAGGCTGGCAAAATTCTTTTCCTTGCCGATACATAATGGAAACATAATAGCTGAAGATGATGAGGTGAGGACCACTGTCACGTTCCCAGTGAGGAAGGTGCTGTCTCTGACTGTGGCTGTAAGTCATGTGATGATGGTAGATGATGAACCTGTGTACACTGTACACTTTACTATGAAATCCTGGTGTCATTGCCTAAGAAGTCCTAGCAGAGCAACTGGGCTTAAACATCTGAGTACCGTGGGCAAGCCCAGAGCCTGTATTGGGCATATCCTGCTGAATCCTAGTGTAACCACAAGCAAACAATCTGAGCTGGTTATGCAGTTTAGTGGTAGAGTACTTGCCCATTATGTTAAGCACGCTGGAGACCACCCACTTGTTTCATGCCCATGGAACTCTCCTCTCTTTGGTCTGAACTTTCTGATTGGGCTGTTGCTCACTTGGTGCAGGTTCTTAGACACTCAGGCAGAGTTTATAGTCAGAAGTGGAGAAGCCTGCTAAGTCCACTGAGTAAGACCTTCCTCAGACAGTTTTGGAAGGAGAAGCCACAGCAGGTGAGGGGGTGGACATAATTATTTCCCTAGATTATACCCAAGGAGCACAGTCATCTGAGAGTCATGCTTCTGTCACAGACCAGGGTTCTGAGGCTGTTATTGTTCAGATGGTTCCTTTTATTCCTGACTCTTGTTCTAGTTTTTTTTTTTTTTTTGACTGAATCTCATGTGTTTCAGGCTGGCCTTGGACTTGCTACAGTAGCTGAGGATGACCTTAGATTTCTGATCCTGAGGGCTCCACTTCCCAAGAGTTGGGATTACAGTCATACATCACCATGCTCAGTTTATGTGGTGCTAGAGATCAAACTCAGTACTTTATGCATGCTAGACATTCTACCAACTGAGCCATATCCCCAGTCCTGTTCTAGCGTTTAATGGCTTTTCTTCAGGGTTACCTAGAGGGCCTGACTGTGATGGCCTCTTGACGTGTTTTTAAGGATTAGGTCTTCTGTAAAATAGGGTTTCTATATCTCTCTTGAAGCCTCGAAGGTATTTTTTGGTCCTAGGAGCTACCTAGAATGCCACCGCATAGTAGCTTTCTATTCCGATTGACAAATCAAGAGATTTCCTGTCTGGTGGTCACTGGACAAAGTGACCAGGGTGGGAATAGATATTAATAACTACATTAGAGGGCCCAGCTAAATAAGAGGGAGAATATGAAGACAGCCCACTGTCATGGAACCCCTTGAATGCCAGAATGGGACATCTCACAGATGTTTTGTCTGACTCCAGCCTACCTTTCCAGGCATAGCTCCTGCTGTGACCTGGGTTCTGTTTCATGGGAACAGGGCATGCTGCTTCTCAAGCCCTGTCTGACTTGACCCTCATCTCATTTTCGTCTGTCAAAATGTTAACACTTGCAAGTCTCAATTTCCGGTTTCCTCTCCTTCCTGTCAACTTCTGTAACATTTTGTTCCTTTTTAGGCACATCTTATATTTTGTTTTGTGCTCTAATTACATAGATCGTCTCATGGCCCTTAGAGGAGAGAGGGATAATTCAGCGTCATAGTTTCTATCTGTCCAGCTCGGTATCTGGCAGAGGGCAGGTGCTCAGTAGTACTTCCTGTCCCAGTTCATCCCATGCTATGTGGGTTTACAAAATGCCCTTTCCTAATTTATACCAGTTCAGTTTCCATAGACCAAAGCATATATTTCTCTTTCTATGTCTGAAGAGTGACTGGATGAATTCTGAAATCTGGTGACTTGTAGAATTCTAGCAAAAGGAAAGCTTGAGGGCGAGGAAGGGTGCAGTGGGGGATCTGTCATGGGTGGTGACTCACCTTTGGAGGGCATGTGTACAGCATGGTCTGGTGCTTTCAGGTCAGTGGACCCCAGTTCAGTGATAGCTTTGAAATATTGTGCATCAAAACAAAATCAGGAAGCCGAGTCTGGTTTGTTGATTTTTTTCTTCTCTTGTTGGAGATACCATTGCTCAAGACCCAGGTTCACTGGCTGATTCCTGTAGTTTTAAAATTATGCTATGTACCTAAATGCCTTTGGGGATGTTCCCTAATTTTACCAAAGACCCAGAATAATGTTAACATACCCAGAATTCAAACTTCATGGTAACTGAAAACATGGAACTTCTAGCCAAATGTATGGCTTAGAATTAAGGGTCATGTCTCATTACTTAATGGGGACAGGGAAAACAAAAAACATCATAAGGGACAAAAAAGCTCTACCTAAATGTTACACAAATTGACAGGGACTAGTATTATTTGGATAGTCATAAATCTGCAAATAAATGGGAAAGTAGTTGGGGTGTGTTAGTCTTTCAAACCAAATCAACTCAGTCAACCAAAGAATTGAGAAAACAGGGCTATGTAAATTGTCTTATGCAGAAATCTATATTGCCTCTGGGAAAAAGCTAAAACAACTTCTACCCTTTAAAAGTGAAAGATCTAACTAACAAATAGAAAAGAAAATTCTCAAATGGAAACACATACCGAGTTGCATGGCACAGCATGGTTGTTTCTTGCCAGGAGCTTCTTGTCCCAGCTTTGCTGTTAGATAGCTGAGAAACTTCCTGAAGAGCTGTTCATTTTTCTACTCTGGAAACTGAACATTGGCAGTGAGTCCAGATAGGAACACCTTGGATTGCCAACTCATTTTACAAAAGAGTCGCCTATTCTTTAGACACCAAAGTTTAGTGAATTCATCTACCAGAACTTCTCACATAACTCTTCTTTATTGAGCCCCTACTACACCCTCTGCACACAGAGCATTTGAAAATGCCTGAGTATTTGGCAGTTAGATGTTGCCATGGAAACCACTTGTGCTGGGAAGGGTTTTCTCAGATCACTGTAAATTGGGCTTAGTGAGGGCAGCCTGCATCTTTCTAAGGAACAAAGCTAGCCTTTCACCAGAGCAAGATGCCGGCACTCTACCGACATGTTTTTCAATGTTCTCTAAAAATCTTTGTGGTGCTCACTGGATGGCCTCCCACCAGCCTCTCTCTCTCTCTCTCTCTCTCTCTCTCTCTCTCTCTCTCTCTCTGCTCTACATTCTCATCCCAATGCTGTGAATTTTCATTTCCAACCTTCTTGCAATAGTAAGACTGTCCAGTTTAGCAAATAAAACTACAGGAAGCCCAGTTCAATTTGAATTTCAGATGAATAATGAATAATTTTAAAGTACACAATACTGGGGAGTTACTTATGCTAACAAATAATTGCAGTTATCTGAAAATGAAGGCTAGTGGTGCATCCTGCATTTCTCCAGGGAACACTGTGCCGGGTTCAGATGTCCTTATTTTCATCCGCTGGATTGCTTGTTTTCCATTTCTCCTTCACCTCAGTAAACACCGCTATACTAGCTGAGATTTCCTCACTCCTCCGAACAGAACATGCACTTCTCCTCTGCACAGTGTTATCAATAGCACCCATTAAATGTGCTTTCCACTGGTGGCTGTGTTTTGTCTGTCCCCATTTTTGATGATAACCATTGCCTTCCTGTTTCTGCCGCTTCCACCTGTTACCGCTTGTCTGACTTTCTTCAACAGAGAAAGAGAAACCCCTTTTTTGAACCACATCGTGTGAAGGAAGTACAGCTGCTCCAGAATCCCTTAACTTTGTGGATTGTGGGATCCCCTGAGTTCTGAATCTATTGAAAGAACAGTCACCTATCCTATTCTGTTAGGAAGTATCACTTTTGTAAATTAAGGATGGGTCTCAAAATTTAGGTGAAGCTTTGAAGTAAATACCTTTTTAGAGTTGGCTTTGTAATCTTGGGGACTTGGGGGTCCTTTCAGAGCACCACAGCAAAACCTTTAGCCTTTGATTTGGAGGCTCCCACCTTGCCTTGACTGCTGCCACAGCTGTTTTCCTCCTTGGTTCTTCTGTCCACAGCAAGACTGTGGTCCCTAATTTGAAGCTGGGTCAATGTCCCGCCTTTGGCTATAGTAGGCAGGTAGAACTAGTCACGGAAATTTTGGGGCCCCCTCTTGGTGTTTTTAGTTTCAGTAATAAAATAATTTAAGACTGGACTCAAATGGAAACGGACAATTTTCTTAGCAGTTAAAAGAAAAACCCTAAAGGCAGGCGAGCTGCAAATCTCAGCAGCTGCCTGGAGG